AAGGCTGGGCTGAGACTCTGAAGTCCTACCTCTGTGGCCCCAGTGTTGGGATTACAGACCTGTACCACCACACCCAGCTAATTTTAATTTCTTGAGGATTTTTCACACTATTTCCCATAGTGGCTGGACTAATTTCACTCCTACCAGCATTTTTTTTTCCTTTTTTGGAAGTTTTACAATAGCCATTCTCACAAGAGTGAGATGCCATCTTACTGCAGTATTCATTTGTATTCTGTGGATGACTAATACATTCTGTATGGCCCTCAGGTAATAACCATCTCCCCACTTTAAAAAAAAAGCTGTAAAACCAAGAATAGCAGAGGCTGGAACCATGGCTCAGTGATTAATTTAAAAAAAAGTGTTTCACCACAATCACCATACATGTGCATAAAACAAGATAGAGAAATACATGTGCAGCTCAACATGAAACAAACAGGCAATATTTGGGACCCAAGAAAAAATACAGCACAGAGCTTGGACTCCAAGAACCTCTTCTACAGCTCAGACCTGCTCTATGCTCTTGTCTCTGTCCATGCCCTTCTTTGCTGGGAGACCTGGTCACTGCCTTCACATTTACCACAATGATTTTTTGTATTGTTATCTATGTTCAAATCCCTCAAGTTGCATCATTTGATTTCTTTAATGAGCATTTCCATGGTTCATCCAGAGAGTCGTCAGATAATAGTCTGCTCACACCACAGGCAGACGAAAATGTTTACCCAACACTGTAATATTCCCACATTTAGAAAAAGATTAATAGAATAAAAACAATTCATAGCATCATGTTTATTTACTCACTGGCTAAACTTTCATTTACAAACAAATATTTTCATAGCAAAAAAAACACACACAAGACAATAATTATACTGTTACATAAAATTAAACTTGCAGAATTTACAACTTAATATTCTGAGCAGACAGATAAATTATACATCCTTTAACAAAACCCAATCAAACAGCATTTAGAAATTCATACAGTCATAGTGCCAGATAGTCTTTCTTTACAATCTACCTATTTACATTGTTTCCCACCACAAATGATACGTCTACCAATGTGTGCAAACACAGTATATTTAAAATATATTTAGCAGCATATAAAAAAATCAGAGAAAAGAGACAGGAGCTATTGCTATTAAACAAAAAGAAACTAAAAGAAAATAATAGAAACAATTCCATAGGAAAATAGATCAAAATATCTTTCTGTTAGGAAATCAACAGCTCACCGTCACAGAACATGTGCCCGGTACTAGAAACACACCAGCTCCGCAGCACTGCAATCCTGAGCACAGAATGTAGAACCCCTGAAAGCTTTGGTCAACACAGGGAAACGTGAACACTTTCGCACAAACTGTTATCTTTCTTAGCAGACTAAGGTCAACTATGAGGAATCATCAATAACAGTTCCTTTACATTGAAAGAGCTTTGAAATTTGGAACCCCTTAGAGACTGACAAAATTTTGCTGATGGGCAGACAACATATGATTAACGGTCCCAGTACATGTTTAAGTGTGTAAGTTGTGGGAACACATCTGAATGGGTGAACAGGTAGGAGTTTGTTGTTTTAACTCTGGTGTACTTCTGTCACAAGAGCAGACATCTTAGAACTCAAATAATTTGAAAGTATCTTTTTATAGCCATGGTCAAAGTGCGATACAAGCAATACATCAATTGTAAGACCCATATGTGTTGGTAGATAATAATATTCCACATACAAGACGGTACAGCTTATTAGAATACATTTTTATCTAGCAGATAGATTCAGATATATTTCCAGTTGATTCCATTAATAATAAGTGCAGGACATCATCTTCAATAAAGAACGAGGAGTATCATCACAGTGTCAGTTTATGCTTGTCTCCATTTACGTTTAATTACTGGCAATATCTTCCCCCAGATCTCCTGTGTCAGAGATTTGACCATCTTGCAAATTGTGGGCTTTCCAGATTCTCACGGTCCGATCACTACAAAACAACAGATTTTAAATGGACATATGAACGGAGGCAGAAATGTCCAAAAATAGCTCTCAGAATTACCTAGGGCAACAATTTTCATTGAAGGTTTTTGACCAGAGCAAGTAAAACGTGCGCAGTGTGGTTTTACTTTAATCTCATTTATTTCTAAGCCCCGGTTTTTCCATTTTGGAACAAGAAAGTGTAGGGGCGGATAGCTTTGTGGGGCTCACCCCTACAAGAAAGTATAAAATTTGCTGTTTCTTTTCTTTTATTTTATAGGAGCCCGTTGTTAAGAGACTAGATTTTTTAAAGACTTTGGAACTTATTAAAGTTGGACTGTGTTCTACATTATGATATTGGCATCAAATCTTGGAGACAAAGAATTGAAAAGTTACAAGATTATGGTTTAAAGAGGTGTGTCTGTGTCAAGTGGGCAAGGGGAGAGTGTCCTCTTTAGCTTTACCTGTCTACTTGTCACAACCTAGGGTAATGTGAGAGGAAAGTCTCAACTGAAGAACTACCTAGATCATATTGACTTGTGTGCCTGTCTATGGGGAAGTTGCCTCAATTATTAATTAATGTAGGAGAGTCCAGCCTGCTGTCAACAGCACCATTCCCAGGGAAGGTGTTCCTGGGCTGTGTAGGAAAGCCGGCTAACCTGAGCCTATGAATGAGCCAGTAAGCAGCATTCCTCCATAGTGTCTGCTTCAAGTTCCTGCTGGACTACCCTGGATGATGGACAACCTGCTCTAAGTTGTTGTTGGTCAGTGTTTCATCACAGCAACAGAAGGAAACCCCAGACTCCTTTAGAAAATGTTTAAAATAGACCTTTGGGGTTAGGGGTGTAGCTCAGTAGAAGAGTAATTGCCAAGCCAGTGCAAGACCCAAGGTTCCACTGTAGTAACTTCACACACCCCAAAAAAGTATAACTTCTTAGACTCTATTGACTATTTTCCTATGATTTTAAGAAAAAATGTAGTAAATTTATTGGCATTTAATATTCCTTGAGTAATACTGAAAAGTTTAATTCTCCAAATAATAAGAGTACCTCATGAAAAGTAAGTATAGTTAGTTACTTACACATCAATCCATGGGTCCCAGTGATGTACAACACTTAGTCTTATCTTAAATACATTATTTTCAGTGAGTTATTAAAGATGTAATAATTTTGTGGGTAAATAAGCAAAAGTAGGGACTCTTAAGCAAATAGTACAACTTGGAGAAGGCATCACTGAAGCATCTATGATCCCCAAGGTGGGGCCATCACTCAGTCAGAGAAGAGCCTACCTGGAATTCGTGAGGCCTTAGAGTTAATCCTCAGCATAGAAACAATAAAGAAAAAAGAGTAGGGCATTTACCAAGATAATGCAAACATGGGAAAGCTGTGCTTTCTAGCCCTACTAGGAGCTGGTGATGATTGCTGCAATGGCCTGTCTTGCTACCTCGTTCAAGCATCTTAACCACCACCTCCCTCCATTACTGCTTTGTACCCCACCCTTCACTGACATCCCTGCAGGTTTCCCCCTTCTTATTCTCTGCTGCTCTGGTTAGAACAGAAGGTAGAGTTTATGTCCGCTTTGCTTTCTGCTCTCTTCCTAAGAATCTAGATTATGACTGGGCACGCAGAAGGTTCATTATGAGTAATCAAATAAAAAGACATCAATTAGTCAATCCAGCTATTAAGAGGAGGGAGGAAACAGATGTTACTGCCATATTCTTATATAGTCAATGGAGAAAGAAGTGCAAAGATTGTTAAAAATAATTTGTTCTAAATAAAAATCATAGCAAATTAGCTGCTCTTCTGAAGAAAAAAAATTAAAATTACTCATTAATGATTTTTTTAAGTCAGCAAGGAAAGATCTGATGTCAGGTTCAATGATATGCAGGCTGTACCCTAACATTTTGAAGTCAGCCTAAACTCAAAGCTTGTAGAGTTTATCCGAAATTATAATTGAGGAGCCAGGAGTGATGGCACACCACTACAATTCCATCTCTTGAGTAGCTAAGCCAGCCTGGGCGAAAGAGCACGATCATATTAAAAATAAAGTAGTGAAAGTAAATCATTCGTCTGGAACCAGTTGCTAGAATGACTATGATGACAGAGGGATCCCCGCTATGCCATTTTTGTAAATACTATGGCCTACAGTGTCTGTAAAGTCCGAACACAAGCAACCCACCCAGAGCAAAACCACAGGAGAAAACTTACTCGGCTGCAGTGAAAACATGGGTGGAATTCACACATATGGCATTGATGGGACTGTCGTGACCTCTCATCTCTCCAACTGGCACAAAAGTATCCACGTTCCAGAGTTTCAAGATGCCACCTCTGCAGCCGCTGAGCAAAACCGGGTGGCCTGGCACCAGGCCCAGGGCACAGACCCAGTCCTTGTGTGCGTTTGGGACTTGCTGGGGGAGAACAGAGAAAGCCGCACTGAAGAGGAGGGGCTTTACAAAACCAGGGGCCACACTAAAACTGCTTACAGAACTTTTAGTGGCGAAACTCAGAGTCTACAAAAGTTTTCAGTGATTTAGGCACTAGATCTACAATTTGCTTCCCAGTTTCCAACACTGTTTTCAGTACTAACAAGTAACCCATAGCATTTAAAACACTCAAGAAACCTCCTCTTCCCTTACATAATAAAACAACTCTAAAAACTACAGACTGGCATGCACATGGATTAGGCGAGCTGCCTCATGAAATCTGTTCTACAGTTTGATAGAGAATATGGAGGCCTAAGGAAAATGGGAGTTTATATATTTTTTGATGAACAGGAAAAGCCATATGACCATATTTTATGGCTAAACATATTTATAGTCACAATTTAAAAATTACAACCATGAATATATGTCTGTGACAGAATCTGAAGTGTTTTTCCAAATATGCATGCTACTAGTGCATTCTGTCTTTAGTTGCAGACTGGAAGTAAGGAAAGGGTAGCAGCTGTAATGCATACATGAAGCAACAAACAGATGTAAAGACTTGTAAACAGTTTTCTCCGTTAACTAATTTCTTCACCGATGCACTGAAAGCCTGCTCTCATTCTGTAGGATATGAAAGCACTGCCTACTGGACTCAAGAAAATGCTCCCAAGAGTGAGAAGATCCAGATGATCTCCATGCTGTTGGGGAACATGTACATTTAAAAACAGAGAACAACTGCAGCTGTTCTACCTCAGGGTGGTTGTAGTCAATAAAGAGATACACACAAATTCTCTAGCTTTCAACTGTCAGTAGTGTCACGTCTTTTCTTACCTAGTTGCATTAGTTGAATGTTTACCTTCTGATGGAAGTAACTTTATTGGGGATAAAGCACATAAAGTATATTTGATATTGAAAAATGTAAAATTTAATGTGAATCTATACAATCTCCATTCTTAACCCAAGTTATAATCCCTTTGGGGTTGAACGACCTTTCACAGGGGTTGCCTAAGTCCATCAAAAAACACAGATATTTACATTATGATTTATAACAGTAGCAAGATGCCAGTTATGAAGTAGCAACAAAAATAACTGTGGTTGGGGGTCACCACATGAGGAACTCTATTAAAGAATTTCAGCATTACGGAAGGTTGAGAACCACTGATACAAAAGACCAATGACTTTTTAAGACTAATTTAAATTTATTTGCAAGTTGTTGTTATAATAAAGATTATAACATTACATTAAAAATTAAAAACAAATCTTTACGAGAAATCCCTGATTAAACTATGAGACTCTACACAGAGTTTCTGAATTACCTGAAGAAGACCTTTCTGAGCTAAGTCCCATTTCTTGATTCCATTGTCTCTGGACCCACTGAATAGGTTATCCCCTTGAATGGTCAGTGCTTCTATACCATCATAATGAGGAGGCTCAAAGTTGTGGGTGGGGCTTACAGTTCCAAGAGCCCCTTCAGTCACATCAAACATCTACAAGAGAGAGTCAGAAAGACAGCAGTTATCCCATTCAGCTTTTAGGGAAGTGCTTCCATGTGCACATTCATAGGAACACAAATGTGCATATAAATGATTTGTTAACTGCGTTCACTTTGCATGAATGACACTTTGCATGAATGACACTGATGAATATTCTGAGCCCCATTTCACACTAACTTTGTTTGCACGTCACATACGCAAACTTCAAGAAAAGCAAATGGATTTTTTTCCAGGTATGAATAAAGAAATGTGACACTCAATACTAAAGATGTTATGTATCAATATATTTGAAACTGAAATAAACAGTATCATGTTGTTCAGGTAAAGTTGGGTAGGTTTTCAATTCCAGATTCCTTCTCCACCTTCCCAAAGCTACCTTAAACCTTTTCTTTTTCTCAGTTGCTTGGCTAAAACAAACAATTTTGAATAATATAAAAATCAGTCAATGGAGATATATAGCTCAGTTGGTAGAGTTGTTGCCTAGTATGCATGAAGCCCAGTGTCAATCTCCAGAACTGAATAAAATTGGGTATAATGACTAATCTTGGTTGTCAACTGGACACATTTTGGAAGAAGGAACATCAGCTGAGGACTTGTCTCCATCAGACTGGCCTATAGGCATGTCTAAGGAGCATTTCCTTGAATTACAATTGATTCGGAAGAGCCCACTGTGAGTGGTACCAACTCTAGGCAGGTGAGCCTGGGCTGTATAGGAAAGGTAGCTAAACATGAATGCTGGAGAAAGGCCATAAACAGCAGCCTTCTGTGATCTCTACTTCAGTCCCTACCTCCAGGGTCCTGCCTTAAGTTCCTGCCTGTATTCCCTTGATGTTGCACTATAACCTACAATCTAAATAAACGCTTTCTTCTCCAAATTGGTTTTGGCCAGTGTTTTACCATAGCAACAGAGATGTGATGCCACGTGTCTATAATCCCTACACTTGGGGCTACTGGCAGGAAGATTACATGTTCAAGGTCATTTTTTCACCACAGAGAGTTCAAAGGCCAGCCTGAACTACATAAAACTCTTTCTCAAAACAAGCAAAAATAACCAAATCGCTAACTATAAATAAAGATTACAAAAACAAAAAAGCAAAGGGTAGAAAGATGGGACAGAAAACTGATTAAGAGAAAGTGGCCTTGCAATGTGCTGGGAATAAGTGACTATTGAATGCTCTCAGCCCTAAGCAGGACATCTAATTCACACCTCCATGCTCAAGTGACATCACAGATGAGGTGGGCAGGAAGAAAGAGCCAGAGGATGGGGAGCGTTAGGGAACACTGTCTTCTATACTTGACATGGCAGGTGTGAATAGGTAACTTGTCATGATCTTCAATGGCCATACCATTTTGGAAAGTTATGCCCCCTCCTCCTGCAAGTATTAGCTGTCATGTTCTCCTTGGGGAGGGGAGTGTTCTCATGAGTAACTTCTCCATCCATGATGGAGTGTTGACAGTCCACAGTCTTCAGCAAGTCTTTGGCTGCTGTGACTTCCTGAGTGTACTGGCTTAGGGCTGAGAGCATTCAACAGTCACTTATTCCCAGCACATTGCAAGGTTACTTTCTCTTGATCATGACAAGTTACCTATGATCCAGTAAATAAACCCCATCTATTCATATGCAAAATAAAAACAAAAAACATAATTTTAATGGTCACAAGGAGAAAGAGAAGTAGACTTAGATTGGTGAATAATGTGAACAAATCACTCGAGACAATGTAATTGCAACTCTATAATACACACTTTGATGTAGTGGTCCTTGGAGCCTGTGATGATAAGATCTTGTCCATTGGAGATCTGGTCTACAGTAAGGCACATAACAGGACCCAGGTGTCCGGTTAGTTTTCCTGTAGACTGAAACCTTCAAAGAGAAATAAAATGATTGTTGAAAGCATTTTCTTTTAGACTTCAGCCCTGCCTCTTGAAACTCTAGACAGAGTAAATAGAAATGACCAAACTAACATCCTATGATGGAAGCTGGGAAAATTTAGATCTTACTCCAAAGCTTAATATAATTTATGAAATAAACAAAAAAATTGAGAGAGAAATTGTGAAAGGATAATCTCAATTCCTCCAAGTAAACTTTAATCTATTAAATACATGAACTCATGAAAGATATAACTAATCCTTTTAGATTCAATTTGAATTTGAATAAAACATTGATATCACTGTTTATAACATCAAGGAATCTTATCAAGGAAGTAGGATTATTTTATTTTATGCATACACACATATATAACACATATACATACATCATGCACATATATACATATACCAAAGCATCCGCATCTATGTGTAGCTATGTATATGAGAAAATAGATGAACCATTTCATTAGTCATTATAAAGACTGAACATAACTACAACTGATATCTGACAGGTGTAGGAATAAACAATGCTACCCAGGCATGGTGATGCATAGCTGTTATTCCAACTTTCACTTGAGCTCAAGAAGTTTGAGGCCACCCTGGGCTAAATAGCAAGACTTTTTTTTTAATGTATGCAGTCAGTTGTCAGAGGGTTACAATGAACTTATGCAGTAGTCCTATCTCAAATCAAGTTGCTGGAACACAGCAATGCCTTTAACTTCTAGAATATTAGTATTAGTTTCTTAAAAACTGTTTTTCAGTCACTTTGTTAATATAAACCTATATTTAATCCTGTTATTAAAAAAAGAATAGATTTAGCTGGGCGGTGGTGGCGCACGCCTTTAATCCCAGCACTCGGGAGGCAGAGGCAGGCGGATCTCTGTGAGTTCGAGGCCGGGCTGGACCGATAGCCTCTGAAACAATACAGAGAAACCCTGTCTCGTAAAAACCAAATAAAAACAAAAAAACAAAAAAGAACAGATTTGTATTAACAAAGTAATTAAAAGAATAGTTGTTTAAATCTTATCATTCTTTCTTCAACCCATTGAACATGTAAATTGTATTGTTATATGCAAAATAAAACACAATTTGAAACATTTTTTAAGTGTGAGTTAGAGGGCATGTGGAAATTAGATTTCCCAAGCATTGATGTTATTAGTATTTAAAGTTGGATTTGTTATATGCGAGAAATACATTTTCTAAAAGTTCTACCTTTTAAGGTCCCACATTCTGACAGCATTTCCAGAGGCTGCATAGAGGAAAGTGCCAGTTGGGTTTAGTGCAATCTGATTGATCTGGCTCTCTCCAGAAGGAATAGCTACTGTTCGGCTGCTGCTTGCAGAACAAGCTTCTCCAAGAGTGACTTGACCTGAAGATCTAGTAAGTAATCACAAAGTAAAATAAGTAATAACAAGGCACAATAAGTCATGCTTTCAGATATGAGCTCGGCTTACAGCTTCCTAAATTCCTAAGAGCTTGACGGTAGAGAACAGCAGGAGTTACGTAAGCAACATTCACGGTACCGGGCACAGCACTGAGGCCCTGAGCTGGAGATGACTAAAACATCCTTTAAAAAGTGATTCCATAGCCAAGATCTCAAGAGATGATGGCAGTGCCTGCCATGAAGGCAGCTCCGTCTGCTGCCGTCTGCAGGAGCCCTCTGCTGGCCTGGCTCACCAGGATCCATCTAAATACCCAGGCAGGATTAGCTTTAGGGAACTAAGGATACTGGAACCTTCTAGCTACACTCAGCTTTTGCTTAAATGGACTCTCTTCCTTCTTTGAAAAAAATTAGCTATAGCTTACATATATTTTCTCCAATAAGTTTACATGATGAGATGCCTTTAATTTTGAAATATTGTCCTTGCTAAAAATCTAAAATACTAGCCGGGTAGTGGTGGTACATGCCTTTAATCCTAGCACTCAGGAGGCAGAGGCAGAAGGATCTCTGTGAGTTCGAGACCAGCCTGGTCTACAGAGCTAGTTCCAGGACAGCCTCCAAAGCCATAGAGAAACCCTGTCTTGAAAAACAAAACAAAACAACAACAACAACAACAACAAAAATCTAAAATACTGAGTTAAAACCAACTTCTTCAGATTTGATGTTAGCGAGTAAACTAAACTGAGACCTTTTTAGCTGGGGATTGGGCATTCTATCTCTATAGAACTTCCTTGTGGGGGTTTCTATCCAGGGCAGGAAACAGTAACTCTGAAGTAAGAAACTGTCTCTCAACACTCATAACCTCTACTATGAATTAGAAACCAAGTTCCCTTTTTTCATATACACAATTATTGAATTCACCTCAATCTTGATTAAGAAAAATGGGTATCAATTTCATGACAAAAATAATAAATAGTTTTATAGTTTTAACACATTTTTAACAACATACATTGAGAAAATACTCATGCCCCAACTGTCCTACACAACTGTAGTTATAAAGTCTGTGCTG